GCGGTGCAGCGACAGTTTGGCGGCGACCTTTGTCCCACTTAGGGCTGCGCTGCGGCAGCCGAGGGCCAGGGACCTCTGGAGAGGGCAGAGGGTGCGGCCAGTCCCCCGGAAGACTGGCCCAGCGCGCGGAGCCTTGCCAGGCTGAACTGGACAGGAACCTACCCGACAAGATGAGCCTTACGTTTTGTTAGCAAATCCTCCAAAGCAATTAACGCTGAGGGATTAGTGAGACCGTCTCAGTAGCTCAGTGATTATTAAAATGGGTTTATAGTGAGATCAGAAGTTCAGATAGCAAGAGGCATGAAATCCATTCATTGGGTAAACGAACTGGAAGCACGAAAGACTCGTACTTAATTAGGATGACAGGACAGGTACATGAGCTAATTAGCACATTGTTACAGAATACAATAAGGTGCTGTGAGACCTGCAAAACACTAATGTTTACCCTGGGCTGGTTTGGGTAGGCTTCACGGAGGAGGTAGCTTTTTCATGATACACTCGTTTTTCTAAATTCTTCCCTGGGACATCATTAAGACACTGATCTTCCATTTTTTTGGTAACGGGACTTCTTTATGCTCTTAGAATTAGAGAAGCTCAAAGATGGGTTAGTTATTTTGGTTCAAGTATGAGAAGAAAAATCTGCCCTCACAAAGAGAGTATCAGAAAAGGAAAAAACCCAAAGGACTGACCCTCTGAATAGGTTAGGAGTTATAATTTTATTTTAACAAGATTCTTAAGTTTTTATGTGCATATGGATCATGTAGGGAGCTTGTTAAAATGCAGATTCTAATTCCTTTAAGGTCTGGAGCAAGGCTTGAGCTTGTGTATCAATAACCAGCACTCAGGTATTGAGGGATGAAGTGATTATTTCCTTTTCTAAAATGTAAAATAGGCTTACAAAAAATTAGAATTTGGCCTCTAACATCAATAATTTAATCCCTGGGGGAGGAGAGCAGCTTCTTGGTTCCAACAAACTTGCTGTCATGTGTTTTGATATCTTCCCTCTACAGACTGTCTTGACCACCTTTAACTTCTAAAGTCTTTATTATTTTTGCATTTCTTTCACCTTCCTGGGTCTTCGTGTATTTTACTTAGAAATATTACCAATATTTCCCTTAAATTTAAAATAAAATTTAATAAAAATGAAATAAAATTTAAAATCCAGGCAGACTTGCCTGTAACCTCTGGCTTTATTTACTCATTATATTAAATGACTCTGTGTCTTAGAGCCCCAGTTTCCTAGCCTTGGTGTATTTTCATCCCAGAGGAAAAAAGTCCCACATATGCGAAATCTATGTGGACAGCTATGTGTTTTACAGTTTTATTTCTACTAACAAAAAGTTGGAGCCAGTCACTTCAATTACAGAGATAAAGTAAGTTTTAGTTTATACTATGCAATGTGACAGTTGAAGAGGTCCCCCTCTTATCATCTATTTTTATCTGTTTTTACTCATTCCACTCCAGACACATTTGGACACCATACAGACTTACACCCTTTGCTCTAGTTGTTCTTTTGCCCTAATTCTTTTATTCTAGAAATGTGCTAAGCTTTGACCTTCAAATAGATCTCATCGTTAGATCTCGCCTTTGCTTCAACCCACCTTAACTACACTGTTTCTGTACTGCAGCCTCTGTCCCTGCCTTACCCCAGATACACCCTCCTGATCCCTTCCCTGCTTTGCTTTTACTGTACCGCTTACTGCCTCTGATACAGAATTTGCTTATTTTCCTGAGTTTTTCATTGTTATTCAGTCTCCCCTTGTTAGAATGTAAGCTTTAAGACCAGAAACTTTGGTTCACTCTTGTATCCTGAAACTACATCAGTGCTTGGCATAGAATAGGTACTTTGTATTTGTTAACTAAAAGGATAAGCCATTTAAAACTATGATTTATATGATAGGGAGTAGTAATTAGAAAAATGTTTATCAAGGTAAAAGGCAGGCCAAGTATGAAAAGTGTAGTGTTGAATGTTCACAGTTAAGTGTTACCAGGGAATGGCAGGTAGCTTAGTGTAGAACACTTGCCTCACATATATGATGCCAAGGCTTGATTTTCAGCACTGGAAACAGAAAAAAAAAGTCATCTCACTGTGCCTGCATCACAAGTGCAACATCCTTAGTATACAAAAAGAAAAACAACTAAAAGCTGTATGTTTAGATGGCTTATGACTTAAGGAAAGAGTCTGTGAAGTCTAAGATCAAAGTGCTAATTGATTCAGTTCTTGGTAGGGTCTGTCTTGGGCTGGCTTCTCACTGTCCTTAAATAGCCTTTGCTTGAGGAAAAGAGAATCTTCCTCTACATAATGGGCTAGCAACCATACCAGGTTAAGACCCCACCCTTTTTACCTCATGTAACTGTATTTCCAAATCAGCCCTATTGGATGCTAAGACTTCAACATATGACTCTTAAGGGGTATTAAGTAAAGGTACAAAAATCAAACAAGAACAAAAGAATTAATTTTAAGGAAAAAAATGATTGAAACAAATGTTAACAAACAAGACTGATTGATGAGTATAGTAAGCTGAATTATTGTAGTTGCTAATTAGACAGACCTTAGACCTTTCTCTTCTCTCTCTCCTCTCTTCCTCTCTTTCTCTTCAGTACTAAGGATTGAACCTTGCCTTTTTACACTGATCTACATCTCCAACCCTTTTTAATTTCTACTTTGAGACAGAGTTTCGCAAAGTTCCCGTACTGGACTGAAACTTCTGAGCCTTCAACCTCAGCCTTCAGAGCACTGGGAATGCACACTAAGGAGAAACATGTCTTAACGTTTAGTTAAAAAAAAAAAAACTCTGAAAAGGCCAGGCATGGCATGGTGGTATGTGCCTATTAATTCTATCATCCTGAGACCTCTCAGATTTGGAGATTCACAGGTTCCCACCCAGCCCAGGCAACTTCAGATCACTGGGGATGTAGCTGAGTATAAAATCCCTGAATTCAACCCCCAATACCACAAAGAACAAAACAAAACAAACAACCAAAACAAACTTGAGTCTGTTGTGATTAATGTAGGTCTTTTCCAAACAATGACTTAAGAGAAAAAGCATGGGTCAACTAAGGAAGAGAGAAACCTAAATTAAGATTTAATGCAAAACAAAAAAATGTGGTTTGGCAGTTTATGAATATATGATAACATAAACTAGATGTGATTTTGAAAGTGGTTAAAGAAACATAGATTTTCAAAATTTTTTTAAAAAACAAGACCATTGAACTACAAGAACTGCTGATCAGTCTCATTTTAAGCATAGTGTTTGTGACAGGGGCTCTTGCAGGAAAGAGGAAGCTGGGGAGGACAGATAACAGTCACTTCTTGAAGATCTTGAATAACTCTATATAAATCCACATAGAGATTGATGGGGAATTTGATTTCCACCTAGATTGGCTTTGTAATGTGGAAATGTCATCAACAGTTTACATTATATACACTTGCTGTTTAAAATTATGTGATCGTGTATAAAATATTAAATGTAGAGAATTTGCATTATTTTTAACATTGTATATGACATGAAAGTTGTGAGTATTCTTCTATGGTACTGTTTGACTTTTACATAATTTAATCTGTCATATGACAGCACTATATTCACCTCAGCTCATCTGAGATTAGTTTTAAGCATTATCCTTCTTATAGAATTACAAGTGCAAACTGAGGTGAATAATGATTAAGTATTTAATTCCAGAAAAGTGAGGAAGAGCCTATCAAAAGTAGTAATGTTTAAAGTATCTCTAGGAAAGCCATCAAGGTTCTATGTTGTTTGGTCACAGAGTAATAATTCATTTGATTTTCTTAATGCATTTTTCTTAAAGGTGTTCTCATTCTGGAGGGGAAGCACGTCTAGAAAGTTCTTCTGCTAAAAGATTAACAGATATAGGAATTAGAAGAATCTTTTCTTCAGAGCATGACATTTTCCGGGAAAGTGTAAGGAAGTTTTTTCAAGAAGAAGTGGTTCCTAATCATGCAGAGTAAGTAATACACGTTCCTTTGATGAATACAAAGAACCATAAAGTGCTGCATACTGGACAGAAAAAGTACTGTTCAGTTTTTATTAACATTTTCTACTGCTTTTCACCATAATAGTGTAAGATTGTTGGGTTCTTAAGTGAATTCTTAGCTTTTTATGTGAGTTGTTCTTTCGCTTTTTGTTTTTTGAGTAAGGGCCTATGTTACCCAGGCTGGTATTGAACTCCTGGGCTCAAGCAGTCTTCCTTCCTCAACCTCCCAAGCAGCTGGTACTCCAGGCTTACATCACACCTACCCATTTTAAGTGATTTTAAAATGTATAATTAAAAAATGGAAAAATTTGAAAATGTACAATTTAATGTAAGGATAATATTTTTGAAAACTGTGGTTAAGTGGCAACAAACTACTAGTCCATTCCATGTTTTTCTGTTTTATGAATGAATTAAAATATGTGAAAGGCCAGCATAGTGCAAATCATAGTAGGTGATTGGCCACCTATAAGTACTTTACTACTAGATGTTTCTTGATTAATCACTGATTACTTTATTGATGAAAACTATCATTTCTACTGAATCTTTCTTGTTTCCAAGATTTACTCAAGTATAATACAGTGCTTTACATTTTTATTTAAAAACATTTATAAGAGTTTTTGTGTTTTATTTTATTTTGTTTTGAGGCAGGGTGTTGCTATGTAACACAGGCTGGACTTGAACTCAGTATGTAGCCCCGGCTGGCTTCAAACTCAAGATCATCTTGCTTCAGTCTCACCAGTGCTGGAAGTGTAGTTGTGGTCCATGGGCTATTAGGGTTTTAGTATTTTTATTGGTTAGAATAACTAAAATTAGCTAAAGTCTGAAGCTATGACTAATCTTTGGAGATGAACAACTAGCTTCTTAAATGTAAGAGAAGTGTAGTGTGTTTTCTTCTAGGAGAATCTTATTTTTGTTTTCAGTGCTTTTTTTTTTTTTTTTTTTTTTTTTAAAAAATTTTGGAGGATTTTTTTTGTTTTTAGTGTTTTTTTTTTTTTTTTTTTTTTGATACAGGGTGTCACTTTATAGTTCATGCTGGCCCTGAACTCACTATGTAGCCCAAGCTAGCTTCAAACTTGGAGCAATCCTCCTGCCTCTGCCTCCAATTGCTGGGATTATAGGCATGTGCTACCCTGCCCAGCAAATCACCTCCCGCCATCCCAGACCGGGGATTGAACTCAGGACCTTGCACTTGCCAGGCAGGCATGGCACCGCTGGGCTACATCCCCGGCCCTTCACTGCTTTTCAGTTTTGTTTCAGTAATACTGTTGAAAGGCCCTGAAGTAAATAAAGTTGAAACATTTTGAATCAATACTAAAAATATTTCCAAAGCTACATTAGGTGATAATTACATACATCAAAATACCCATGATAATCAAAACCTTTCTTCTAACATTTCTTGTATCTGTATCTACCTTTAATCAGTAACTTCAACTACCATGCTTCTTAATGACTGGATCTACACCTTTAAAATTCAAAAATTTTTAGATTCTTTCACTATTTCTAATTGCCATCTACTCCTCCTTGTGCTGTTTTCATTTTTAAAGGAGAAAAGTTGGGCCTAGAGTTTTGACTTAGGTGGACACATTGCTTAACTTGCATGCTTGAGGTGTGTGGGTTTGGTCCAAGCACGAAGAATGAGGAACACAGACTTTTCAGAAATTGCAGGTGCTCCTGCACTCCTGTTGCTCCTTTTTAGTGGAGTGAGGTTGTTTGCTCTTTTTAGATTTGATAAGCTTTTCCTGTTAGTTCAGTATTTTAAGAAAATATGCAGAGGAGAATTTTCTTTACAAATTGACCAAATTCCCTTGACTGTGACACAGCAAATCTTGTAACCTAAGGAGAACCGACTGAGTGAAACTACAGCCATGGGTATCAATGGGTATGACTTCCAGCTCTGATAAATAGGGAAAGAGGCAGAAAATGGCAAATAGAAGTATGGAAGAGAAAAAGAAATAATGGAAAACTCAGATACAAATAGAAGGATATGGCAGTTAACCTTATGTTAAGGATGCTTTCCTGAACAAAATCATTTACAAATTCAGAGTGTGGTCATTTAAATAATTTGAAAGAAATTATTTTATTTTAAAATATTTGTTATCTGCAGATGGGAGAAAGCTGGAGAAGTGAGTAGAGAGCTTTGGGAAAAAGCTGGAAAACAAGGACTGCTCGGTGTCAACATTGCAGAACGTCACGGTGGGATTGGTGGTGACTTGTTCTCAGCAGCTGTTGTTTGGGAGGAGCAGTAAGTATGGAGACATTGAAGCTCAGTCTGGAGTTCACTTTTCTGAAGTGATAATTGAAATGCTTTCTAAATGTCCTGGGATGATTAAAAATTCAGTATAAAATGTGAATGATTATACCACTCACATATTCTTGGGCGTTTTTTGAATGTGAGAAGGAAAGCAAATCCTTTTTTAAATTGTTGAAGTAGGAGCTGTTTAAAATTAAGGAGAGAACCTCATTTTTGGAAGGCTTACATGGTATTTTCTTTTTTAAAATAGTTGAAAGGGAACAGCAGAATGGAAAAATATTTCCAACAAACATACTAAAGTTTAATGTATAAGGAACAAATAAAGGTGACAATTAAAAATGGGCAAAAATTTTGAAGTAACATTTTATATAAAAAGAAGTGCAATTAGTTTTTTTAAATGAAAAAGTACTGCCTTACTGTCCATCAAATATAAATTAAATTGACTTGTAGGTATCATTTTGTGTATCTACAAAATTAGTGAAACTGACAAATCCTAATACCCAGTGTTGACAGGATTGTGGTATTATAGTGAAAGTGGCATTGTCATACACTTTGGTGGCATTGCAGATTAGAAAAATAAATATTTTGGAGGATTAAAAATGTGACTATGTAGATATATGAAAAATGAAAATGTTACTGCTCTTTGATATTTTAGGGAGTTTATCCTAAAAAGGCAATTGAATAGGAAAAATAAATGCTGTGTTCAGAAATCATTGTCATGTTAAATCATACTCCCCCAAATTTTGAAGCAATCTAAATATCCAGCAGTGGGAGAATAAAAAAATTATGGGACACAAACAGTTTGGAATATTTTGTAGCTATTTAAGGTTATAATTGTAAAAATCTATGTAAGAAAGAGAATTTTATTATGTCATAATTTAAGAAAACAGCAAGGTACAAAATTTATAATCTAACTGCATCTATATTAGAACGCAGTGGTACCTCGGTTCATTGACAAATTATTCTATGATTTTGGAAAAGATGGCCATGTTTGTGTGGGAAAGATGGCTTCAATTGTGTTTGTTGCTCTATGCAAGTTTGCAAACAAAAACAAAATTATGTCAAATGTTTTTCCTTATGAACCAAATTGATTGTTTTTTTGTTTTGATTTGGTTCTTTTTTGGGGGTGTTGGTGGTTTTTTGTTTTTCTTTTTTTTTTTTTTGGTTTTTTGATATAGGGTCTCAATAGGTAGTTGAGACTGACCAGGAACTCACTATGTAGCCCAGGCTGGTTTTGAACTCATAGCAATCCTCCTGCCTCAGCCTCCCGAGTGCTGGGATTGTAGGTGTGCCCCACCATACCCAGCTTCCAAATTGATTGTTTTCAAATAAAGTGTTCATGAACTGAGGTATCACTGTATATCTAAAGTTAGTTGACTATAAATAAAAACAGTTGGTGTTTTAGGGTAATATAATTCTAGAGGCTCAGCATTTTACCTCTTAATCCATTAAATGTGTATTTGCTAAGCTGTTAGAGCACTATTATCATAGAACGGGCAACTAAAAGATTAGTAAAAGCAGAGAGAAAACACTAAGGACGTAAGTTTATGAGGAGGTAGGTTATAACCCCGTATGATAAATCTTTAATGGTTTGTTGTTATATTAGTCATTTTGATTAAAAATTAAAGAAATTAAAAACAGCACAGTAAGTATCTTATGTTTTAAATTTTCTTCCTTTTTTCTAAGATCCTACGTAAATTGTTCAGGTCCAGGTTTCAGTCTTCATTCAGATATTGTCATGCCCTATATTGCAAATTATGGCTCAGAAGAACAGATTAAGCGCTTCATCCCTCAGATGACTGCAGGCAAATGTATTGGTGCTATAGCAATGACAGAGCCTGGAGCTGGGAGGTAAGTCAAGATTCAGTTGGTTTTACTGAAAACCTTCATGTTAAAATCAGGAACAAGACAAGGATGCCCACTATCACCACTTCTCTTCAATATAGTTCTGGAAACATTAGCCACAGCAATTAGACAAGAGAAAGAAATTAAAGCAATAAAGATAGGAAAGGAAGAAGTTAAACTATCATTATTTGCTGATGATATGATACTCTACATTGAAGATCCAAAAAACTCCACCAAAAAACTTCTAGACTTAATTGACAGATTCAGTAAAGTATCTGGATACAAGGTGAATACCCAAAAATCAATAGCCTTTCTATACACAAATAACAGACAGACGGAAAGAGAAATAAGGGAAAAAATTCCTTTTACAATAGCATCCAAA